GGATCGTCGAGTCCACTTGGCGAGTCACCGAAGGGTCTCACTTCACCTTTTGTTCCAGTGTGCTGAGCCTGAAGGAAAAGGATCAAGTCGGAGGAAAAAGGGAGCAGTCGGCGCATTCGCCGAGAAGTTCTGCAAAGCAGTACTATGTCACCCAATGACCCAGAGCACGATGATGCCGAAGGATAGTGCAAGACGGTGAAGAACTACACCCATGAGAGAATCGCCGAGCAGATCGGTGATTCCTACTAATGTCGCCGAATGGTCCGCTGCAACACAGATCTTTGAAAACTATAAATACTCGTTGAGAGTTATATCTTATTAATCAGATTTTAGTATCACAAGATTTTCAGTGTGAAACAATTACTATAATTTTTAGTACTTTTTCTCTGAGTTTGAGAGGGTTTTAAAACTTGAAGAAGAAGAGGGTTTCATCTCCAAGGATTTGGACTTGGGTCTCTTGGATTCTTCATTCTTAATCTGTAATAAGACTTAAATCTTCATACCCAGTTGAATGCAAGCTCATTTAGGTATAAATTTCTATCTCTTGATGTGTGGCTAAAAACCCATTCTTGGGGGTGTGATTTAGCAAATATGTGTTGATATTATTGCTGGATTTTGCTTGCTAATAGGTTAGATGTATTTTAATGGTAATTTCACCTAGTGGTTGAGGTTTAATTTAATGGGTTTGTAGTTGAAAATACAAAACCACCTATGTGTTTTCGGCTTGCTCGAGAGAGAGAGGTCGCAAAACCAAGACCGCTAGACTGATGGCCTAAGGAGTGGGTCGACATGAGGTTCAGCCCGAGAGGGTGAGCCCTAGTCCCATATCCTAACACTTAGCACGAGAGAGTGAGTGGGGTAAGGCGTAGGATGGCCTTCTTGCGGCAAATGGGTGTTCGAGAGGAACCCATTTGAAACGGGGTAAGTTGCCCGAGAGGGAACTTATTTCCATCTAAAGCTTAGCCTAGTCACTATTATCTTGCAAATTCCTTATCGAAAGCATGTACTCAACGATTTATACCAATATATATTGCGGTCACACCCCAAGAATCCCCTCTCATTCATAGATTTCTTTGTTATTTTTACTGTTTTTGCTATACTTGTGACAAAACCCCCAAATTGATATTTGACACTTTATGTGTCCCCTTTAATATACAATATTTTTAATTGTTAATGTCTTTAGCTACGACTAGTTAGAACTAATTTTATTTTTCTATTAATTCTCAAAACCACTACCGTGGGACTCGACCCCAACCTTTGGTTGGTTTATTATACTGTTGCACGATCGTAGACACTTACATCGGAAGTTGTGTCGTTGATTACACAAACATCAAAATGGCGCCGCTTCCGGGGAGTGGTGTTATTTGAGAATTCTTAGATTAATAGAATTTTTGTTCTTCTTAGTTGTAGTTTACGCACTTAATCTTTAGTTTTGTTTTGTTGATTTGTTTGTATCGAAACAGAGGAAGTGAGCATGATGACCTATACTTGGGAGCCAATGGAGTTTCCCCCATTAGAGGTAGTGATGTTTTAGGATCGCATTCTCACCTTCAAACAATTGGAGGGTGAACGGATCCACAAGTCATGGGAAAGGTTTAATGAACTGATCAATCTATGCCCAAATCATGACATTCCCAACATAGCTCTCCTTGACTGTTTCTACAGAAATCTAGGTCCTGGAAATATGAAATGGGTCGACCAACTCATTCTGGGAGGCATCGCGAAACAGCCATATATGATAGCAGCTCAATTGCTCAATCAAATGGTTGAAACAAATCAAGAAGTAGAAAAGTACTTCATGTTGGCCGCCCTAATGACTCAGATGGATGAGTTGGCTAAAAAGATGGTGAAGATCGAAGTCAAGTGTAAGAGAAAGGATAAATACATCCCTCCTCATGAGCGAAGACGTCTCAAGGACAATAAGGTGAAAAGTCTTGAGGGAATGCTCTCAGTCATTCTCCACAAGGTGACTGAGCAAGATAGAGAGCTAAAAGAAATGAAGGAAGACATTGAAGGAATGAAGCAGATGATTTAGTCTCATTCTAGAGCTGTCCAGCTGCTAGAGAACCTCATGGGTTATGCGTCGCCCGATCTCCACCCACAACACAATGGGGGGTTGCCTAGTGATACTAAGGCTAACCCCAAAAATGGAGTTTGAGTACTGATTTATGTCTTGACACAACGTTAACTAAGGCGCTGTTTGAGAGGTAACCCAAAACCCTTAAATGCCTGTAGTATGTTATTATCAAAATAAAGGTGTCTTGGTTTTGTAGGATTGGGCATGAACAGTTTGTGAAAAGTACAGGATGAATTACACAAGTCCAATTGGCGAATCGCCGACCTCGATAAAGACCGCCATTTGAACCCTCACCTTGACTGAAGGTCCTGTAAAACTCGGTGAGGTAGATAGACACTCGGCGAATAGCCGAGTAGCGGATTGAAAGCAACTAATGTTGCTGAATGGGTGAGATCTGAATGGTTTTTATAAAGCCATGGGCTTTGACTTTCAACCTTTTCACATTCTCTCACTCTCGATTTATGCAAAATCGCACCTACTTAGTATTTTCAAAATTTTCGTATCTCGTGAGTATTTTAGCTGATTTAGTAGAGCTTGGATCTGTACTCATCTGCTGCCTAGCATCACAGTCTTGACTTGATTTGCCTAAAAGGTTAGTCCTCAAAACCTTGCATTTAATTGTGATAATTATACTCTCATTGCAAGAAATTTTATCCCATGTCGTGTACTGAGCATTTATGACAAATTTAGACTATTTAAGTGCCTCTTTTTATTTCCTAGTTCAACCCATATGCTCTAAATTTTGGAATCCCATTTTGATGATTTAGCATGAATGAAATTTTATGAGGTGCTCCTGCATACTATTTAAGTTGAGCATAGGGAAAAACTGTAAGCTTGGTCAATCTAGTGTATGGTTTGATTTTGTTTTTGGGGGTTACGGGTTGAAATCAAGAAGATAGATGGGAAATAGGCACGATGAGCCGATTGGCGAGCTTGGTCCAGCTCGTCAAACCACTCAGCGGTTCGCCTATTGACCCATCTCACATTTAATTTCATGCTACTTGAGACATGGATTCTGAAGCTTTCGGCGAGAAGTCTCATATCGCAAAAAAAAAAGCATTCAGCGAATCGCCGAAAGTATCCTAAATCACCCCTTGTCTGCACCCCCTTACCTTTGTTGCACTGTAACTTTCGGCAGATAAGGCACTACTCGCCAAAGCAACTCGGCGATTTGCCGATCTATTCGGCGAGATAATCTGCAATTGTATCCCCATGAATTTGATTTAGTTGTTTTTAACTTCTTCCCAAATTCTTTCCATAAATGGCTAGAACTAAAGTTGCAAGAGAAAGCAGGTTACCTCAAGGTAAAAAAAAAGGATTAAAATCAACGAGGATGCAGCTGCACCCAGAAGCAAGGTTACTAAACTTTCCATAGTTAGTGGGAAATGCAAGGGCAAGAATAAGATCTTTGAACTGTCAGATGCAAGCATTGACAGTGATGACCCCAACCAATCTGGAAGCGAAGATGTGGGTTCGGATGAGGATGATCTGTTAATGGCACAAAGGGCTGAGCAGCGAACTAAGAAGCTGAATGATCCATCCAGGATAGGATCAGGAATACCTAGCTTACCACTCCTATATCTCCAGTTCCAGAGTAGGCAATGGTGTTAGCCCCTCCAGTACAGGGTCCTTCGCCTAAGTCAATGAATCGAGTGAAAGCTGAGGGACTGAGAACAATTCTAGAGGAAAAGCGGCTGTCCATAGACGGGGTTATAGACAAACACCCAGAGATAATGGAATGCCTGAGATACCATAAGTTCCAAATTTTCACCAAGCCCTGCGGCCCTTATATCCCAAACTAGGTAAGAGAGTTCTATAGTGCATACAGTGCACTAATACCCCAGAAAAAGTAGCTAGCAACAGCCTTCAAAGAAGTAGACTATGTAGTTGTTAGAGGCAGGAGGGTGAAGTGTGATAGTGAGGCCATTAACGTAGTCTTGGGCATGTCCACGAATATTGGAGATCACTGCCAACACTTGATCAGAATAAAGAAACTGGATGAGATGAAAAAATGGTTAACCCCACTAATTTCAGACGAGACTTCAAAGAGGTTGGCAGAAGGAGTTCCGATTGAAAAGAAAGAACTAAACATCACAGCAAGGTTCTGGTTTGGTTTTATCAGCAGCACAATCATGCCATCCCAGAATGAATTAATTCTTCGCCTTGCCAAGGCAGCTTTCTTGGGTTGTATCATAGAGGAAACCCGGATAAACTTGGGAGAAATCATTGCTTCAGAGATACTCATGCGTGCAAGGCAGAGTCAGACCTCACTTCCATTCCCAATATTGATCACATCATTGTGCAAACAAGATCGGGTACCTCGGGATGCCAAGAAGGATATGTAACTGATGCCTATAGCCTCTACCGATATCCAGTGGATGAAGCCGAGTACCTTAGGGATCAACCAGAAAGGAAGAAGGCAACATTGGTGGAGTTAGTAAACACAGAATCATCACCTACAGAGGCAACTCCAAATTCTTCTGTTGCCGCAAGGTCTCTCGAACCTACTGTTGTTGCTTCTATCTCCCGGCCTTCACTCACCCAGGCTTCCCTACTCCGGATGGGACAACTTGCCCTTTCTTCTGATCGTCGGGGTACCAATCTAGAGGCCTCTTTTCCAAGCATGATCCAGAATGCCCTAGTTGATGCTGTGACACCTCTGACCACTATCATTTATGCCCTAGCGGCCAGCATAGCAGTGTGTGAGCACAACCAAGGGGCCAAAGATGAGGTAACAACTTTAAAAGCTACCATTGCTGAGTTGCGAAAAGATGTAAACCACCTGAAGTACACCGATGTATCCATGGTCTTTGGAGCAGGGTAAATTCCAGATGTGCCTAAGATGCCTCAGACCACCATTGGACATGGGAATAGAGTGGAGTAGACAGCCGATTCTGAGTCAAAAGCAAAAACTGATGAAGAGATGTATGATGAGGTTAAGAGAGCTGCAAATGAAGACCTGACCGAGACGGAAGCAATTATGATGGATGCTGCTGTGCAGGCCTCCCTAACATATGTTGCTGGATTTAACGGAGCTAGTCCTTCTGGAAGTCACTCCGGGCACTGATGCCCAGACAGATGGAGCGACTACTTAGACAGGATCCCCTTTTTACCTCCCTTTCTATCTTTCTTTACTTTGCCTTTCAGATTTTGTGATAATTGCATTTGAGGACAAATATTTTTATTTGTGGTAGGGTGAGGCTCACCTTTTATGTGCTATTTGTGATTCGTGTTGTGTATTAATTTGGTCTGTTCTGTTTAAAATTATTTTTACACTGCTTTTCATGGATGTTTGAGCTTATGGCTCCCCTTTTGTTTTAAAATTACAAAAATGATTTTGACCCTTCTGAAATTTTTTGCCACCTCTCGTGTGTTGAATATTGCTGTTCTTTTGCAAAATTTAATTCTCGGTTCTGATCAATACCGATGACTTGAATAGTGCTCTCAATCGAACGAACATGAATGCGCGGCTACGACGAGACCAAATGAAGTTGCATAGACAATATGTGAAGTCTTTGCATCTCGTTGTGATTAGCCATTTATTGAATTAATTCTCTTGTAATGACCATTGCACACTAGCGAAAGGGTGTGGTCTTGTTTGACTTAAGTGTCGATGCCTTGTGTGATGAGCTTACTTTGAACCTTGCATGAATAAATCTAGAATTTACCCCATTAGTCTGATTGATTTAGTAAGGTGTGCTCTTGAAATGATCTTAGGCAACATTTGAAGAGTGTGAGCCAAATTTGACATATACCTCTTTGGTGGACTACCCGTGAGCGTGTGAAACTCTCTTGAACACCCTTTGAGCCTTACCTTTCTTTGGAAGAACCTTGATGAACCCTAGACCTTACTTGACCCACTACCTATAATCCTCTTGATTTGTGGTTTAGTGAATAGCCAATTTAGGCCAAAAACGTAAGTTGGAGGTGTGGTGAAAAGGAAAAGGAGAAGTCAAGAAGTGCAAGAAAAGTCTCCCTAAACCCATGGTGTTGCGGAACAATGAAAACCCTCCAAAAAAAAGTTATGGAATAAAAGTACAAAAGAAATTGGGTTTCCAAGCAATCATTGGAGGTGAATAAAAAGATGACTTAGAAGCACTAGAAAAAGAATTGAAAAAG